TTCCCTTTCCTAATTTTGTTGCAATTCTAATAACTCCCTTTGGAAATATTCAGTAGGACTCTGGTAGTCTCAGATTTCTAAATGTCTTTCTCCATTCTGTTATGAATATGGTTTAAGATCCCCCCCAAATAATCCAAAGTTTCTTATGTGAACAGATATTTATGAACAATGACAAGAACAGTCAATATTTCATTAGCAATTGGAGAATGGCTGCTTTGTGAGAATTATATAAAACCCCAAGAGATTAAAATTTCTGGGGAGAGCAATTTATATTTACAAGAATCCAGAAGAAGAAGGGCAGTAGAGAAGACATTGGCATCTTTCTACTGGTTCACCTACTGCTTTGAAATGCAATGGACTGAAGGTCAGTATTTAGCTAGGAATGACCAGATGCTAAGGTCTAAATTCAGCAGTTGGCATTTTCTATCCTCTTTCTCAATAAATTTGCATATGCTTTAGGTACTTAGAGTTACTTTAATATTGGACAAAATCTTTCATTCTATTATCATAATTTAGTGAAATTATCTGCAACCATGGGAGAATTGACCTCTGTTGTTAAAACCAAAGAGCATGCAAATTACTGATGTTTTATTTTTCTTAGAAAGGGGTAAATGAAAGAGATAAAGATTATAAAGGGCAATAAAAGAAAATAAAGGAAGATTATGGTGTTTGGGGCAACATACTATTTCCCTCATTGCCTTACTTGTTATAATACTTCAGCTAGAATATGAGGTCTAAAGAAAAACAACAGAAGTCATACTTCGCAGAAAATTAGTCTCTTAAATTCCATATTCAGAATTTGAGATTTTCTTGGTCTATGGTTTTAATATTTACCAATATTAAATAATTATGTAATATTATTTATGTAATAATATTTATGTAATGTTACCTTTACAGAAAGGTACTTGTGAAACTGTGAAGAACTTGATAAAAACAGATTTATGTAGCCATCACCATTTAGTGTTTACCCAAACACATTGGCAAAAGATCTAGTGATGATGTATTCATTCAATAGGGCTACTTCTTAAAGTCTTAACATTTTCCAGGTTAATTTTAATTTAAACATACTTGAATGAGTTACTTATCACTATCATTTATTTGAACTAATATCATCTGTGGTAATGAACCCATTATTTTAACTGATGAAAATGCAGCTTTCTGAAAGTTAAGTAATTTTTCCAGTCATATAGTCCATTTCTGAGCCAGTACATTAGAATCAGATAAAATTATTCCAAATCAAGGGTATTTATACATAATTACATTGCTAAGAGCTGAAAAGCTCTTATGTAAGGAATTTAGTGGTAACTTAATTATCCTCTTTTATTGATGAGAATTTCCTGCATAAAGAGTTCTGCATTTAGCTAGTTTTTTTATTCATCAATTATCAAATTAGTACTAATTAAATATTGGGTCATGTTTTTCAGATTGATGCACATATATTAGAATTTATAAACTTGTTAATTTATAGTTTAGCAACTTTCAATATTTAATCAATAAACTCAGACATTATACTTAATTTTTGAATATTAATTTGTTTAGTTCATCAGAATGATAGTAAGGAGATAAACTTTTTGTCATAAAAGGCAAATAAATAAGTTTATCAGATTTACTTATATGTAGATAAATATGTGATGAAATAAAAAATTATAAGTGTTTCAAGTTTGATAAATTTTAAGAATAATTTTATTCAAGAACAGATGGTTGAGTACTAAATAATGAATGTACATCTTTATATTATAGCTCAAATGTTTAGAACAATGGAAAGCTTATGTATTTTTCATTCTTATTTGAAAGGGAATGATGTTTTTTTATTTTTTGTTTTTAAATAATGGCAAATTAGGCATGGAATCTAATGGAGTAGCAAAAGACGTGAGTGAAAAATAGTATAAAATAATAATGAAATAAAATGAGTAAAAGAAAGAACAAAATATAAAGAAAACATAGGAAAAGCAAATAAGAGAAAATGTGATGAAAAATTATTGGGGAAAGAACTACAAAGAGGAAAATAACTAAAAAAAAAGGCTATGTGTGAAAGGGGAAAAGAATGAGAAAATAGGGAAAAGAAAAGATAAGAAGCACGAGGAAATGTTTCAAAGAGTAAGGAAGTAGTCTTTTACATCATTAAATATTTGGCACCAGGTCTGACTGCAATTCGTACCCCTGTCATGCCAGTGTTACTTAAATGTGTTTGCAATCTAAGAATCAGAGTAACTCATGTCTCTACATTCCCCTTTCCTTGAACAGAGGTTCATGTGACCCTATGAGCATCCCTAGGATATTATATGGGGACCACAGGTGAAAGTCATGTAAATGGGGGAGGGGGACATTGCATGAGACAAGTGGCCAATTGGTAGGACAGGGTCCACAGGAAAGCTGCAAAGAGCCCAAAATCAGAAAAAAATCGAAATGCACTGATATCAGAGAGTATCATCGTTGCTGCAGTTCAGAGGATTCTATCTATGAATTAGCCAAAATGGTATGGAGGATTAGTAATCGAGACATGAATATTTAGACTTCTATTTTAGCCTTTTCTGGTATCATCTCACTAATTTGACTAAAATAGAATTAAAGTAGAATATTCTAATTTGAAGAGTTGTAATTTATAGATTCCCTCCCCCCCCCCCCCAAGAAAAACCTCTTATTTTATTTTATTTACAGAAATACTAATCTATTTATATATAGTCTCTGGCCTATGTCAACCACCAGTTCAGAATCATAGTTGCAGAAAACACCTATGAGAATGGAATATGGGAAGAAAATGAATCAAACCAGCCAAGTAGTATCTGTTAGATAACTGGGAAAAAAAGACAGACTAAAGAAATAGCTTAGTAGGCTGCAGTACATGCTCTCCATACAGGAGACATGCTATGTATACTTGCTAGTAATAGGGACTCTTGTATATCTCTTCATCTATATTGTATTTTTTTGTAGATCAGCAGTATTTTAATTAAAAAAAATTTTATGCCCATAACATTATTAACATGTTCCTTATATATACATTTATTATATAATTGCATTTATATTGCTATACTAATGTGAATTCTACATATTAGAATGTATTCTGATAAGAGTATTAAAATTTAGAGCTAATTACACATTCACAATTATGCATCTGTAATAAACATATAAAATAAAATTTTGTTTACATTTCACATTGAATTGTCACATGCTCCTTCTGGAATGAGCAGCTACCACTTATCAGACTAAATCTTAATATTTTTACACAGTAATTAGTACTTTTAATTTTATAAAGTTTAACTTCTCAGTTCTATAATGGAGAGATTTTCTGGTTATCAATTTTAATTTTAGTATTCAAGAACACAAAAAGCATCCAGTGAGAGTTGTGCTAATAATATTTAGGCTAAATAATGAAATATCCATCTTATCATGTCAGTCAGAATAAAATAAACAGTACTTTCATATTTTAAGCAATAAGTAGACATGTTTTCTTGTCTTTGAAAAATGGATTGAACTATAGGCTCTTTATTGTTATTTCCATTTGTTCTAATCTGATTTTATGAATTAGGATAGTTAATGTTTAAAGATTTTGAAAATTTTTAACATCTTCATTGCATATAACATTGAGATCAGAGAAAGAAGGAGATTATAGGCATACATAGTGCAAATTGAGGGGCATTACTGGCTGGAATTGCTATTGGATGGAGTGATGATTTCTCTCTCTAAGCAGTGGTGTTTAATGATGGATATGGCTAGGAGACTATCTTGAAATTAAGTGAAAAGTAGAGTTAGTTCTGAGATTCTGGTAACTAATTTATTTTTATTATCTTTTATTTTTTATTTTTTTATAAGTTTTTTATAATACTTCACAATATTTGATTACATTCAACATTCAAACACCAGTCCCACCACCATTAAACCTTTCCACCACCACATTTGGGTGTTTTCCCAAGACCCAATCCCTGCCCAAAACACAAACGAAAGAATATATTTTGTATTGTCTGTTATGAAGAACTGCTGAACATGCTTACAAAAAAGGGTTCATATAGAAAACAGTGTAAAGATTGTTCTATTTTGGTGGGAGCCATTAAGACATTCTATAGGATATCACTAACACATTGTTATGGTTTGGCTGATATGAGCTTTGGTATATATGTCTGAAAATATGTATATATGCATATATGTATATATTTCCCTTTATGATTTGTTACCTACTGTCTGAACCCCATCAAACATGATGTGGTAATTATGGAAAATTGGCAGGAAGTGTTTTATGATATGTCGTGCTGCCGCAAAAGCCACGCTGTCCAGGAATATGTTCACTAATATGTGAAGCTTGGCCCGAGTGTGTGGAAAGCAGCCTGGAGTGTGGCAGTGGTTGGATTATGGAGGTCGGCCGCTAGGGCTGGGTCCCTTGGAGCAGGGAGAGCTCTCACCCACCCCCGTCTGGGGCGCAAATTCTGGTGACTAATTTAGAGTCAGAGAAATGCAAAGATGTATGACTAGAGGAGGGTAAGATAAGAATCAACACAAGATTACAGAGCTCAAGACAGAGAGTTCACAGAAAAACACTGGGGTTTCTACAGTAAGTGAAGAAAGGAAATATTTAAATTTTTGCGTAGGTTGATGGTGAAGAGAGGGGTAAGAAAATAGCCGACCTTTAAGCAAAATACAAGTTGAAAAATGCAAAGATCTTAATTATTGGAGTTTTACTGAATCTCAGTCAAGGAACTTTTTATGACCCAGCAAGGTAGGAATCCTAGGGAGTAAGATGCCAAATTCTCAGAGTGGAGAATAGTTCTATAGAAACACATGGCTGAATATAAACAGGAGTGTGGTTTGTGAATAGTGTTTTTGTCTGCATTAAATCTGGCAAAGGAAAGGTTTGGAATTTGCCAAAGGTTTTGGAGATATCTTTGAAACATGTTATTTTTAACTGAAGTGATGAAAATGACATTTTTTAAACTGGAGAACTAGGGTTTAGAGGAAAGAAACAGTAATAACAATAAACTTTACTTCTTGATGTACTGCAGGCAGAGGTGATGGAGAGAGAAAATGGCACAATAGTGACTGAATTCATCCTTCTTGGTCTGACACAATCTCAAAATATTCAACGACTGGTCTTTGTACTAGTTTTAACTTTCTACCTCATCATCCTCCCTGGAAATTTCCTCATCATCCTCACCATCAAGTTAGACCCTGGCCTCTCTGCACCCCTCTACTTCTTTCTAGCGAACTTGGCCTTCCTGGATGCATCCTACTCCTTCATTGTGGCTCCCAGGATGCTCGCAGATTTTGTAACTAAGAAGAAGATAATCTCCTACAGAGGTTGCATCGCTCAGCTCTTCTTCTTGCACTTCCTTGGAGGAGGTGAGGGTCTGCTCCTTGTGGTGATGGCCTTTGATCGCTATATTGCCATTTGTCGGCCTTTACACTATTCAACAGTCATGAACCCCAGAGCCTGTTATGCCTTGGTATTTGGTCTATGGCTTGGAGGCTTCATCCACTCCATTATCCAGGTAGCACTCATTCTTCGTTTACCCTTCTGTGGCCCAAATGAACTGGATAACTTCTTCTGTGATGTGCCACAGGTTATCAAGCTGGCTTGCACGGACACCTTTGTAGTGGAGCTTCTCATGGTTTTTAACAGTGGACTGATGACACTCCTTTGCTTCCTGGGACTTCTCGCCTCCTATGCAGTCATTTTGTGCCGGGTGCGTGGTGCTTCCTCTGAAGGGAAGAGCAAAGCTGTGTCCACATGCACTACCCATATCATTGTTATATTTCTCATGTTTGGTCCTGGCATTTTTATCTACACTCGCCCCTTCAGAGCTTTCCCAGCAGACAAGGTGGTTTCTCTTTTTCACACAGTCATCTTTCCTTTATTGAATCCCGTGATTTATACTCTTCGCAACCAGGAAGTGAAAGCTTCCATGAGAAAGCTGTTCATCCAGCGTGCAGCCTGATATCAGGGAAAAGTTATAAAAACCAAGGGTGTAGAATTTTATCTATAACTAATTTATGCATGCAGAATTTACCTATACTGCATTTAATGAATATCTTATATTTTGTTGAAACTATTCTAGGCACTGGGAGGAGTTTCTTAATGAGACAGGCATGGTGACTTCTCTTTAACTTTTGAGTTGAATTGGATTAGATAGTTATCACAATAGACAATAAAAAGCACAGTTTCAGGAAAAGGCAATCTTCTGAAGGAATTAAAAAGGAATATGGAGACAGATATAGGGATAGGTAGATAGGGAGAGAGAAAGTGCATTAATTGGGGATAAACAATTTACTTCCTGTCTTCAAGCGGATCTTTTTGAGGTGACCTTTGGCTGACATCTGAACTAAAGTAAACATCCATGGAACCACCTGGAATGAGAACATTCTAAACAGAAGGAACAGGTAGTGCAAACACTTGTTCTTTTGGTTGGTAATGAGTATGGTATTGGTATTTTTGAGAAGGAAGATGTAATGAATTTGGGCTTTTTTTTCTTTTTGGGTCACACCTGGCAATGCTCAGGGGTTACTCCAGGCTCTGCACTCAGGAGTTCTCCTGGTAGTGCTCAGGGGACCATAGGGGATGCTGGAAGTCAAACCCTGGGTTGGCTGCATGCAAGGCAAATGCCCTACCCATTGTGCTATCTCTCCAGCCCGAGTTTGGTATTTTTGAGCAGAGCAAAGTTCAAGTGAACTAAGGTATAATAAGTGAATGTTAAAAAGATTAGAAGATATAGTTGGAAATACCAATGTATATGTGGGTCTATTAAATATGTATTATATTAACAAACTATTCTAAGGCTTTAGCAATAGAATGCTTTCTCTGATGCTGCTTCATAAATGATAATGATGCTGTATACTGAAATTCTGTACAAATAATCAAGGAGTTGAAAAATATCAAACAGAAAAAAATGTTAATAGTGTATTTTAAATATTAAATGCTATATTTTTAAAATCCATGATTAGAGGAAGGGAATTGTTATTTTATAAAATTTGGTCTTATTATACATTTAGTTTAAACTTATTGTTCTTTTAATATTATGAACATATTCTAAATAAGTGTAGATTACTTGCTGTTTTTTATTTATTTTTAATTTATTTTAATTAATTAATTTATTTTTGTCACACCAGGCAATGCACAGGGTTTACTCCTGGTTCATGCACTCAGGAATTACTCCTGGTGGTGCTCGGGGGGACCATATGGGATACTGGGAATCAAACCCGGGTGGGGCCACGTGTAAGGCAAACGTCCTATCTGCTGTGCTATCACTCCAGTCCCACTTGCTGTTTTTTAAATGACTATGAATTAATTACCTTTTCACTATTTATGTAATTAATTTGTAATTTTGTAAATTTAGATTTACTATTATAATCTTTAAAAAATTTAAGTTCAATTATTTGGTTATTTTCTGGGAATACATTTTAGAAATTTAAATTATATTTATAAGACATGGATACTGATATATAAATTTTTTTGGCATTAATTTTCTCACCAAAATATATCATTCTTTTTGCTATTTCTAATTGTAGTATCTGTTTTCATTTAATTATTTGTAATTTGCAAAAGGCGGAAGTATTTGGTATAGCTTTTAATTTTGAATATTGTAAACAATGTCTATTGATTAAATTTATTTTCTTTCATATATTCCAGTTTCTTCCTTTTCTTTTTGATTTGTTTTGATCTTTGAGCAATACCCAGTGATTCTCTGGGCTATTCTAAGCTCTGCTCAAGAGTGAGTGAACCCTGGAGGACCTTGGGGGAACTATTTTATGGTACCAGGAATTTGAACTAGGGTTGGTGGATATAAATGCTCAAAGCTCTGTATAATCTCTCTTGATACATTACATTTTCATGTGGATTTCTTACCTTTAAAATATGTTGAGGGATAAAAATATTTCTTGCCTTATCTTTATAAAGAATAAATAAAGTAAGTAAGTAAAAGTAAAGGCCCTCCCGTTGATCATCGATTTGCTCGAGCGGGCCCAGTAACGTCTCCATTGGAGACTTTGTTGTTACTGTGTCTGGCATATCGAATACTCTCGGTAGCTTGCCGGGCTCTCCGAGAGGGGCGGAGGAATCAAACTCGGGTAGGCCATGTTGGCTGTGTGCAAGGCAGACGCCCTACCCGCTGTGCTATCGCTCCAGCCCCATAAAGAATAAATATTTCTCAAAATGTTCATTTTGTCTATTTGATTTATAGTATCTATTGAAATGTGGGGTAAATTAATTATATCAATTAATTTTATATAAATTGGTCATATCAATTTATTTTATTAATTATATCATTAAAACTGCTTAGCCAATTAGTAACATAGCATCAAGATTTCTACATCTAATCAAGATTAAGTAGTAGAAGCCAAATTTGCCTTTCTGTCTGAAACAAACAAAAAATGAACACACCTGTAAAACAACTGGTTTCAATATACAGAGCATCTGACAACATATATTAAAACCAAAACCCAAACCTTAAAATATTTCTTGCCATTTCTGTTATTACCCAACTTATTTTCTTGAAATAAGAATGATGGGGTAAAATGATGGAAGAGAAATTTGAAGAAAACACATCAGACTCTGTTAAGAAGAAGGACTTGAGTTTCTGGAAAGATCCGGACAACCAGAATTTGCAAGTCATAATGTTAGAGTTGACAATTCTTTCGTACTACAAAAATGTAATTTTCTGTGCTTACCTTTAAGCACTGATTTAGGTGCAGCCCATAAATTTGGATAATCTTGTTTCCAGGTTCATTCATATACTATTTCTCAATTTCTATTGTAATCTTTTCTTTTAAAATAATTTCTCAGTTATTATTTTATGATCATCTTATTTATTCTATATTTAATAATTTTATTTTACCACTATTTATATATTTTTAGTATGATTCTTTTTATTTATTTTATGACAGCTAGGAGCTTTTTTGGTCTTTTTCTTTTCCTGCAGTGCTAGAAATCAACTCACAAGCTGCATGCTTGCTAGGCAAGTTCTAAACCACTGAGTCACATCTTCAGTTTCTTTTTTTTTGGGGTCACACCTGGTGATGCTCAGGGGTTACTCTGGCTCTGCACTCAGGAATTACTCCTGGCGGTGCACAGAGGACCATATGAGATGCCAGAGATGGAACCCTGGCTGGTTGCATCCAAGGCAAATGTCCTACTCACTGTACTATCACTCGGACCCTCTTCAATCTTTTCTTTTTGATTATAAAACATATTGGTTAATTCCCAAAAGTTTAGGATTCATCAGATTATTTTATTTTATTGATTTCCAAATCATTTTTATTGTGATTAAGATGTATTTTTACATCAGTTTTATTTGGGTCTCCCGAAGAGGAATTGAAAGAGCTATGCTTGAAGTATCACGCTTCACTCAAGTGAGAGAAAGAATCCGGACTTCCAACCTCCATAGATGATCAAGGATCAGGGATGCTGCCTCATTTGCCAAGGCTTCAAAAATCAGATGGGCTGGAGAAGTTATGCAATTTGGAGATGACTGCTGGACTAGAACCATTACCAAATGGATTCTACAGACGTCAAAAGAACGCCTGGCTGCCAACCTACAAGATGGTTGAACTTCTTCATCAAGACCTTGAATGAATGGTTTGATGCTCTTCGTGTTCCTGGAGTGAGCAGACACCACTGGGCTCTACTAGTACATACATGACAGGGATGAATGGAGATATTACTGGCGCCCACTCAAGCAAATCTATGAGCAACAGAATGACAAGTGACACAACTGACTTTACATCAGTTTAATCATTTTATTTATTAAGGCCCCAAATGTGTTACATCTTTGTGAATATTACATAAACACTTTAAAAATAACCTGTTTTCTGAAGTTTATAGTTACTTCAGTACAAACAAGCAGATTGATATTATTTTACAAAAATCTGGGGGCTTACACCTGGCTCTGTGTTCAGGGATCATTCCTGGAAGTGTTCATGGGGACAGCATACCATGCCAGATATAGATTCCAGGCTGGCTGTGTGCAAGGCAAATAACTTACCTATTGTACTATCTCTTTGACCCATAGTAATGATTTATTACTGCTCGTTCTACTGCTTTTTGAGATGAAAGCATTGAAATTTTTAAGCAATAGTTGTGGCACTACTGTTCCTCTTTTTAATTCTGCCAGTTTTTGCTTTGTGTATTTAAAGATATGTTACTAGGTGCATATTTATTTATAATTATTTCGTTTTGACCGCCTTGTCATTTGTCCTTTTCCTATTTATCCTTCATAATACTACTTTACTAAAAAGGTACTTTTAACTTCAATGATTGTCACTTAATCACTTAATCCCCGTTATTCATCTATTTATTCGAGCGGGTGCCAGTAACGTCTCCATTCATCCCGGTTGCGTGCTAGCGTAGCCCAATGGTATCTGTTCGTTCTAGGAACATGCAGAGCCTCAAACCGATCATTTAGGGTCTTGACGAAGAAGTCTGACCATCTTGTAGGTGGGCGTCCACGTGATCTTTTGATGTCTCGTGGAATCCAATCAGTAATGGCTCTAGTCCAGCGCTTGTCTGTAAACCTCATTACATGTCCAGCCCATCTGATTTTTGATGTCTTGGCAAATGAGACAGCGTCCCTGATTCTTGAGCGTTGACGAAGATCAGAACTCCGGATTCTATCTCTCATTTGAGTGAATCGTGATATTCCAAGCATAGTTCTTTCTATTCCTCTTTGAGAGACCCGAATAGCGTTCTCATCCCGTTTTCGTAGGGTCCAGGTCTCTGAGGCATATGTTAATGCAGGAAGAACAGTGGAATCAAAGAGATGTGCTCGTAGCTGGAGGTTCTTTGTCCTTTTAGTTATTTCTTCAATGGTCTTGAAGGCATTCCAAGCCGCTCTCTTTCTCCTGCACAACTCAGGTGCCAGGTCATTCATCATGTTGATTTCTCGACCTAGGTATATATAACTGTTGCATTCAGAGATGGTGGTTCCGTTGAGAGTGAATGGAGCAT